CAGCGTGATGCGAAATAACAGAGAGGATAAGGCAGGAGAGAAGAGGCAGAGAAACGGAAGAGAAGAGGAGGGAGGAAAATGAGGGTATAAAATAGGAAGTGGAAGGCAAAATTGCCAAGGCGGTGTGGGGAAAAGAAAAGAAGCAAATGGGTAAAGGTACCAATGTAGCACCCACTTCGACTGAACTGAAAAATATGGCAGGCAATTTGGCGGGCTGCTGCTGAGGGATTCAGCAAAGAGTAAAAAGCGCATGAAACCGACCAGGAAAAAGTTATGGAGGGTGGCTGCAAACCAGCATAAAGCGGTCGTGGGTTATGGTAAGGTGGGCCAACAAACACTAGAGGCCACAGGTTGTAATTTAGATTAATAAAGCTTAGACTTGACGCTGTAAAATGCCCGATAATCATCAATGAGGCGATTCCACCCCTGAGTCAATAAAACTCCCCAGGTTGTATTGACCGTGAAAAGTCCATAAAAACAGCAGAATGCATCATCACAATGAAGGTAATCTAAAATAAGCGTATACGAATAGGACAAAAGTCGTAAGAATAACAAGTCAGGTGTGTTTGATGGAAAGGTCAGAAAGCGTAGTGCAAACTGTTTTAAGCGTTGTCATTGCCCCCGCTCCTGGTTAATCTACAAATCAAGGAGAAATCTAAAGAAAGACTATCTACGAAATGAATTAGTCTTCGCAAGTGGTTCTGTACCAACACACGGGGTATAAAAACGACGACAACTGTCTAGCCTTATTATCATGCATTTTCACCACGGATGCCTTAGCGGCATTCTTGCGTCGGAAGCCAGTATGACATCGTCACCATTTGTGTCACACATGGGGTAGCTTTTAGTGATAGTCGCATGGACTCGTCTGTTGTCAATATCACTGCGGGTGGACAATCTAACTAGAAGAGCAGCTAGGAAAGGTCCGGAAGTGGCGCTGTCATTGCAGATAGTTTGAGCAAGGTGCATACAGTTCAGTGGTGACACGGCAGCCGAATCAAACGCTTTTGTTTCATCCAACGTTTCTCTTTTAAAGTGCAAACGTGGTGGCACTAGAAAAGCTAATGCAGTCGCCTCTTCGATAAATCGAGATCTGCAGGTTGAGGCCACTTAGCTTCTAGAGATAGAGAGTATTGTGAGGAACGCGCCTTTGTCCATGCTGCTGTTCTTGTCGTAAATTTACAGACGATCAACAAGAAAAACCCGAGTGCTGGCTGTGCTGCTCTTCGGCGCTCTACGCTCTGCACTGGCCGTCTGTATTTAATTGGCTCCAAAGGTCACAGTCCGCGATGCCTGCCCATCACGTGCAAAAAAGTTCCCAGCAGAATTCTCAGGCGCCCGAGTGAGGCCTTCACAGTGGCCGTGTGCTGTTGATTCCATTCTCGTCGATCACGAGGGCGCCAATGGGAGCACTGGCATCGAAAGGGCACTTTAGCGGACGCTCATCTTGCAGTAGATGTGCTTTTTTATGAAGTGCTAACCAAACTTCCTTAAATGTTTCCGAACGAAAAATATAACTTAAGTAGAGTTATAATGGTACTTATCGTACAGCATAATGAGAAGAGAGTCAGTCACAAAACGGTGCAAGATGTTGAACAAACTTCTCTCCGCCTGGATTCAAACACTGCAATCTGTCAAAAATTACTACTGAAGTAGTATGCATTTATTTACGATGCCCCATCGACCAAATACATTTTATTGAAGGCATACATAAATACATACATAAGAAAAAAAATTCCTACACTCATTTGGTAGCAAATTGTCTTCCTTCAAATTTTTACTCGAAAAATGGGTAGCTTTCGGTTTTAAAAAGAATTTAAAATTACGGGATTTTATGACCGCCAAAGGTTTATTCAGTAAACGTCGTACCTTTCATTTATTAATGTTGTTTGCCAAATATACTATATGGTCCGCAGTTACTTTAAAGTTTTACACGACCTCTACTACCTCTTATTAACAGCGTACATGGATGTTAGATTTCCATCACACGGAGTATAGACAGGTTTTTAGTTGGAAACTCCGAACGCAGATTTAACAGCAGTATGAATTTAAAACAATTCGAGAAGGGTGAAAGCTTTTTTTACAAAATCAAAAGATACTCTTCTCGAGGTAAAAAGGAAGAGTCAATTGGCTAACAAATTAAAACACGGAAGAATATTTTTGTTTATATTTTCTATTGAAGCTATTTGCCTTTATTGGAGCATTGAATATCAATGCAATAAACGGATACTACTTAAACAGTCTTTTTCACAGAGTGTACTTTCTGAGGCTGGGGAGAAAGAAGCTTTTTAAAAAAGCTGGCATCCTGGTGTGACTAAAAAATCTTGGTATTATGTTGTACGGTAAATATTATTACAACACTAATAAATTAATCTTTCCTAATCGCAAACATGTTTCTGAAGTTGGGCAAACATTTCACGAAGTGGCACATCTACTGGACACCCCCATGACATAGTCACTGCATTGAACTTAAATTGGCTTAAAGGATACTGAAGATGTGATCCGATTCTCAGAGCCGTTCCTACGGCTTCCTTTCACCAGCAGCGCACAACGACCTGTGAGCAGTCGGTGGGAAAAACACAGTAGGCATGCCCAACTCTGTATTCATCTGAGAGGCTTGGGTCGCACGGGACCAGTTTAAAACCCATGACCCTGCACTAAAAACATCTGAACCAATAAGAATAAGAAAAAAATATCTTTCAACTTTTCTTAATGCCAGTCCCTAACTAATTCTGTCCAAGAAAAAGTAGAATTACCCTCCCCCCCCCGCCTCCAGCAGTACACCAGATCAATCTGCACTGTACCATATGTGGTAAGTGTTCAACGCATTTTACAAAAAAGTAAGACTCTACTACTGACCTGTAACTACACGTTGTTTGAAATGCAGCATTTCTAACAGGTCTGATAAAGAACAGAGCATTTAAAGCAGGCATATACAGCAGAACATATTGATACCAACAAAGTTGCAACAGCTTGTCAACCTTTAGGTTTTTAGTTTCATCAAAAATTAATTTTTAACTCAAAGTAGATCAGTATATTCAACACCACATAACAATTTTTTTAAATAAAGCAAACCAATGTTGTATAGAAAATAAATAAAAAGTAACAAGGCCACTGTTCGACGTCCACTGACTGGTCAAAGAAAAGGGTAACTTCAGAAAGTCATAAAGCAAAAGGTGGGGGGAAGACTAACAATACATTTTTCTGTACGCACTTGTTTTAAATTATTCAAACATGTAGCATTTTTTTCCTCCACACTCCCTTCGGCTAGAAAACGGAGTTTGCCCCCCCTCCCCTCCCTGAAGTGAAATAGACCACCAGAACAAAACGGAGTGTGCGCGCCGACAATGTTACAATATGAGAGACTGACGAACTAAAAAGCGACCAGGAAAAGACAAATGAAGGGAGGGAGGGCTAAATGCAGGCTTGTATTGCACGCTCTGTCCTGGTGGTCCACGGGCAAGAGCACGTATACACACACGCACATAGTATAGCTGGTGAACGGACGCCTGTTCACGACCGTCCGGAGATGGTAAGGCAAAGAAAGCGGACTCCAGGGCATGAGCAGGGTCACGTGACTATTGAATTTAAAGCCTGAACAAGGCACTCAGTTAAAACGGCTGATAAAAAGGG